TAATAGCCAACAAACATTGGTGAATCAAGGGGTCTAGCCGGCCTACGCCGCCTGATACCTCTACTACTCAATAAAGATTGTGACAAAGACTAAGTAACTCCTATGTTAACTTAATAGTCACTCAAACTTAGTATGAAGCCTAAAAGGTATGAGTCGTCCACTTGTTTTTAATAAACAAAGGCTCTCAACCAATACTCTTGCTAGGTTAACAAATAACGAGTTAAAAGCCAACATTGGCAATAAAGGGAAACAACCGGTACCCGCCGCTTGTTTTCCTACTTAAATTCCTTGGCTACTAGGTAATTCTATTTACTTGGTCAAAATGAATAAAGAGTTCGAATACCGATTGATTAAATGGCCGACTGATCATCTATCCTGGAAACAGACAACCAGTCGTCCAGGGGCATAGGCGGCATACTTACTACTTATACCTGTCTTAACGTTCGGCCATACACAACAGTCGGTCAAGTGAGCAAATTTCAAATACTTAGACAAATTTGAACAAAAACAAAAACTTTGATTAAAATGAGCCGGCCATAAAAGACCAGCAGAATATTCAAAACCCCGGCCCCCTGGCCGGGTAATTACAAAGCAAACGGCACGCAGGCCGTGAAAAGAAAAAAAAATATACTTAAAGCTTAAGAAGGGGGCAGTTCAGTATCAGCAGCAGCCGCCTGGTCAGCACTCTTCTTGCTGGACTCGGCCTTAGCTGCATCATCTTTTGATGCCTTACCCCCAAGTGGCACAAGCGCCACAACCGGCTCTTCCTCCTCCAACGCAACGTCCATCGCCTCTTCTTCAGCAGCCGCCAGGATCTGTTGATTATATATTTCCGAACACTGGCGGTACGTTCTTTCCCATGAGGCAAAGTCGGCACTGGGGAACAGTCGTTCCCAGGTCATGCGTTGGATTTGGGCGGAGTCTTCCACCATCTCCCGGACGAGCTCTTGTTTCTCTTGCTCGGCCTTGTCCGAGAGCTCTTGGGTAAGACTCTTCTCCTGGTTCACCAGGCGTTCTTTTACGTTAGCCAAAGATTTCTCCATGGCTTCGTAAGAGTGCATTTTCTGACGAAGGGGCTTCAGCTCGGCTTTAAGTTTGGTGACGGTCCCCTCCAGCTCGTCAACCTTCTTTTGGGCCGCCTCTAGCTGAGCCCGAACAGCGGCGGTCGCCTGCGCCTGATAATAAAGAAGATCAATGGTCAGTACTTCATTTTGGGCAATTTGAAACATTGCCTTATCACAGCTGGAGGCGGCCATAGCCTTTGCGGCCTTTACCTCTTTGTTTTTCCGATCAATCGGCTTGCGAAGGCTGTTGACTCGGAGCAGGGCCTAAGTACAAAGAAAAACAGGCGTCAGTTTCCAATCAAAAGAGTTAACAGGCGTCCTGGAACTCAAAAGCTCAAAAAGGTGCTAAGTATACCTCAGCTAGGATCCCTGAAATTCCATCGAGGTCAAGGGTGCCGGCACCCTTGACCGTCTCCCTGTCAGAGGGAGGAACTACTTTAACCATAGACTTGGCTACCTCAACCAAGTCTAGACCCTGGGAGCCGGCTGCATTAAGTAAAAGGATAAAACAAGTTAGACTTAATCAAGAAGGAAGCAAGGGTGAGTTTTTTACAAGTAAGGGTCCATACATCTAGGCGGCCCCGCTTGGGTTTTTGAAGAAGTGGCCGGCTGCTTCTCAGCCGCCACTGTTTTCCTGGAAGACCCAGGAGAGCTTGCAACAGTCGTCCTCCGGGCCTTGGGGTCCGGCTGTTGCGAGGAAGAAGCCCTTGGAGTGCCAGACTGAAAACAAAAAGAGTTAGTATATGCATAATACAACTAAAAGGAGAAGAGTTTTCAAAGCTTACCAAGGGTGCCTCCTTGCTGGGGGAGTCGGCATACGACTGCTTCATTAGCGAGACCCGCAGCATGGCCGCCGCAGTCTTAGATGCTGTTATTTTACTCATGGCGTCGGCTGAAAGAAATAAACAGCAAAGTTAGTAAAAATCCCAAGTAAACAAGGCGTGAAGAAACAAAGTATTCGTCAGGCCGGCTACCTCTAGAGCACCGACTGCCGAGGCCACAGGCGGCCAAGAAGTACTCGTCATAGAGCCACTTGAAGCTCGGGACGCAATTTAGGGGTACTTGCTCTCGTACCCCTGAAGTAGAGTTCACCCTAGTCTCTACTTTGAAGAGTCCTTTGTCTAGGATCTCTTTTTTAGCCTTTGGGGGAACAGGCGGCATGCTTCGGCCGCCTGCGAGAAGAGGCGGATCCCTGTTCCACTTGTTAAAACGTTTGTTCAGCTCCGTGTCTGAACTCTCGATAATAAGGAAGGTGTTCCGCCAATCCTTCCATTTGTTTGCCTTACCTCTCGTCATGAGGTAACCCCTATGGCTTGTTAGTTGATACCAGCCGGTACCTCCCGACTTAGGGGTCCGGCTGAGATAGTTCATGTGGGCGAAAGCCTCAAAACTTGGCTCCACCCCGTTCAATTCGCACCCGGCCACATAGCCGAGTACGTTTACCCAAGAGTTGGGGGCTAACTGCCATAACCCCAGATCATACCCATCTAAAATCCGCTGAACAGCCGGATGTAATGGGAAGCGCAGTCCAGCTTTGATGGCCGCCACATAGCAGCCAAAGCAGCCATCACCATAGCTGGTACCAGCCGGCCAGACGACAGTATCTTCTGGATCCGGCACAAACAGTAAATACTCCGGGCCCATTTTGTGGTTAGCAATAAAGCTCGCCACGTTGTCTCGCATGGTTGCAATCCGGCCCCGGGGCACCCTGCAGTAGTAAGGGGCGTTTTCCTCTCTGTAAGAGGCGGACGGCTCTGCCCAATTATCCCCCTTCTCCACTGCATGAGAACTTCTCGCCTCTTGTAGGCGGCTATGTTTTTCTTCTGAGCCAGAAGAACTACTGTCAGAAGAGCTGGATTCGGACTCGTCCCCTGACGAGTCCGAAGAGGACGACTCCTCCCCTCTCCTAGAGGGGCCCGCCTCCTCTCCCTTAGAAGGAGAAGAAGGAAAATTAGACATGTCCACGGTTAGATGAGAAGGGAACACCTTGGTCCCTCTCTCAGAACTGTCAGCTTGACAGTCGCCTCGTTCTACATCTGGCGCCTGGTCAGATGTTTCGCTAAGGAGCACCCTTTGGGAGGAGCCGTCTGAGTTTGATATCATAGCAGTCTTTTTTGTTCTGGCCATCACGTTCTGCATAGACACAGATTCAGTCGGACTTTGTATAAAGGGCAAAGATGGGTCCAGAAAAGGGCAGGCGGCACTCCTAGTCCTAGATTCAGCCGTCCCCGGTGACCGGCTGATCACTAACTTAGGGCGTGTCGTGTGCTTCCATGGTGCCATTTCAAAAAATAAAAAGAAAATTAAGAGTAAGAGAACTGAGTTACCTGAACGGGTGACGGTTGATGAAGTCTTGGAAGTTCGGGTCAGTCGGCTTGTCAGAACAGGCGGTAGGCAGAAAAAGTCCGAAATGTCAGAGCAAGTTCAGGGGTCCGAATGTTCTCGCAAAAATTCTCAAATGTGAAAATGACCGAAGTCAGCACTTCCTTTTATAGGCGAAATGAGAAGGCGAAGGGTCGCTTCCGAATTCAAATTTGGGCGGGAAAATCTCTCGGCCGTCTGCAAGGTGACACCTGTAACGGGCCGTCGCCTGTCACCGTGCGACACCTGTCACAGGCGACACGTGACCAGTCGCGTGCCACCTGTGAGGGGCAAATGATTAGGGGATTTTTATCCACCAATCACCGTCTGACAAGTGGACCAACCAGGTTCCGCCACGTGTCCTTCACGAAGGCCAACAGGAGCTTGCCACGTGTCAGTCACAGATACGTCCTCCACGGACCACTTAAGACACGCCACGTGTCCACCCATGCCAAGTGGGACAACCGGCCATCAAGGCCCAATTCAGTCTAGAGGCCCGATCAGCCCTAGGTTTACCTTAAACCTAGAGAGCTGCACGCTTCCCAAGGCTATAAATACTCGATTAATCCTCATTAATCACACAACAGAACAGAACCGAATAATTAAGAGATCAAGCAGAGAAGAACAGACTTATTAACAACCGGCTAATCTCGCTAACAACGCAGATTACCAACACTAAGCACTCTCACCTAGAGAGATCTGATTACTTTAATTTCTGTATTGATTACTCCTTAATCAGGTACTAACTTGACCGTTGGAGGCGGAGCTCTCAGGAGTCTCCGTTATTTTGCAGGTACAGGCGTCCGGTTCCAGTCTCGGAATTGTAACTCTCCCGCAGGACATCAGAAAACCCCGAAACAGGCATAATCGTATTTTTGTCTATACGCTGCAATTGGTAATAACGAAGGACTTGACGTCTGTTAACTGGTGCTAACCACACATTTTTTTCTTTCAATTTTTCACCATAGTTCAGCACTTCGTTGAAGGTATTTTGTCTTCCACCATTGAAGCTTCTGCATAACTTCGTCTCCACCATTGAAGCAACGGAGAGGGGAAAGCTCACAGGATAATGAAAAAATCTACCCTTTAGGGTTAATAATGCCCTTTATTTCTTAGCTTTTTCTTAGGGTTTTTCGTAGGATTTCGGCGACGAAGCCGCCAGAAATGGCCGCCGAAAATTGGTGGGAAGAGGAGGATGAGTCAGCAATGGGTGGAGATGAAGTACAGAAACGGGTGGGAATGGCCGCCAAAAATGGGTGGAAAAACAGATTAAGGAAGGAGGGAAGGTGGCAGAAGGGAAGGAGGGAATGACATACCTATCACATAATCGACCGACATGGCAGCTACCTTGATTCACCAAAGAAAATCAAGCAACAGGGAAATACTCTAACTTTAAACCAAAAGAAACGGGCGTTAATTCACGTGTTGAGCCCACACTTGTTACCTATTCCAACTTTTATAATATTTTAATCAGCACTCAGTGCTTTATGACGTTCCTTCTTGAGATTCTGTCAGCAGTAAAAGTTTTGTATATCTAGGAGATAAATGGAGACGCGCTCCTTAGCTACTAAAGCATTTAATTTTTGAAATTATCTTTTAAAGAAAAATATTAATAGATGAGAATATATAATGCTTACTACTTTACAGATAACAGGCATCCAAATCATTAAATCATTAAGTATTGCAAAGATTAAGAACATGTAAATGGGCAGTAAAAAACTCTTCACGGCAGGCTTCTAGATGGAAATTAATCTCCGTCATTCCTCAGTCTTTACAAAAAAATCTCTACATCACCACAAATGTTAGAACACGATTATCAGCGCACAACTTTCGGTTGGGGATATGTTCCAAACACATGATCCCATAAGGAGGACGTGATTCCAAACCCCTTTGTTTGAGAACGGAAGTGATGATTTAAGTGGTATTTCTGCAATAACATAGGATTTTAGAACACGATTGTACAACTTCGTATTACAACATTAGTACATTTCATCACTTCAACAGAAGTTGTTACCTTAAGCTTTTTAGGAACTCCTGTGCTGGGCTGTCCATGGTGCAGATAATAATGAGTAGTATCATACATTACATATCCCAGCAAAACACCACCAAATAAAGCAGGTGCAATATATGGAGTAGAAAAAAGTCTGATTAGGCTCCAAAACTGATAATCAAATTGGAAAACATATCAGTCTGGAAAAAGGAAAATAAGAAATGTGTCTTCATCCCTTTTATTTCAACACAATAGGCACAAATACTATTACACAAACATTGCGCAAAAATTGTTACAATGTTACAAAATCAATTTTCCTTGTTAACATGATGTTTTTCTACTTATAGCAATCAATAAGAAAGCCAACTAACTGTAAGATTTAGGGTAAAGAGTTTCCTTGATATTGAACTACTGAATTCTACCTATTTTAAAAAGATTTAATTCTTCAGTTCTTTCCTTAAAATCATGGTTTTGCACTTTGTTTTTCAGGTGATTTTGGTAGCAAACGCCAACAGCTATACGGTTTTAAAATGAAAAGACAACATAACCAGGAAAATTGTTGGGAACAAAAAAGCCCAACAATGATAGTATTGCCATCCCATTCGTTATAAAGCACCCCTTCAATACCCTTAACCAATCATCACAAGTTGTACTGATACAGAAGTTATTCATTATGATGACTAAGTTTAGTCAGAAAAATACACATGACCTAGACATCATATAAGAAGTATAATCAGTAGTATAGTTATCCTTCCACAGTTACTGAGTTACAGCATCACTTCTCGGCAACACATAAATTCCTGAGGAAATTGAATGTACAAAAGCAAGAATTCAGGCATATATAGCATCCAATATATTTGATCAAAAGGTGGGCCTTTGTAAAATCATCACTTTTCTAAGGCAAAGCTCACTTAATCCTTTAGGGTATACGAGGATTCTTGAGATAAGTACATATTAGTAATTTCTAGCATGAGGTGGTCTGATACTCTCATGACAGAAGAACAGTCTCATGACATAGGCTAAACAAGTCACTTTAGTTCTATGTTAAAAAATAAATAAATAAATAAAAATAAAAAACAAAACAAAAAACAAAAATTAACAAAAAATTAAAATAAAAATTTCGATTCTGTAATCCCCAAATTATTCATAAACATGAGCCCATATTCTTTATATTATAATTAAGGTCACACTTATAACCATACAATTGTCACACACCTGACAAACAAAATAACTCTGTTATATGTTACTATTAACTTAACATTATATGTTTAATATCATATTAACTTTGCAACGATAAATAAAATGAAGAAGACATACTGGTATGCAAAGAATTGCTGTTGCTGCTGGAGGAAACACAAGCCGCAGAGCATCCATGGGGTGTTTGTGATGGCAACCATGAAGAAGATAATGCATGGTGTTTGCCCTGCAACCATTTGTCAAACTTTGAACTTCGACTCTATATTGACTCAGAACTCCAACAAAGACATGAAATCTATACTTAATAAGTTAAGTTTCAATCATAAACTTCAATTATCTTGTACCAAATATTCGTAAAATGGAAAATACAAGAAATTATACAATGTATGCTCACAATAAGAATTCAACAACCTACATTGCATGAAATTTACATTTATTGTGTAAAGCACAAAGTCTTCTTAAATCATGAATCTGTTCATGCATTCATATACAGGTTTTACAAAAAGTCCTTGTTCCAATATTTTGCACCCTAACATATCTCACACTTGAATGATCTCCAGCACCGGACACTCATAGCAAGACTGACATAGTTGTAAAACAATCTGATCATGTTACATAATCGTGTGTGATGAAAACCATAAAAGATGAACATTATTTGAGTTTTTTCCAATCCTACCCAGTTTTTTAAAATAAAATAAACTCCACCAAAGCCAAGAAAAGAATAAAAAATGCATAAATTAAGGGTTAGTGAATGCACCTGTGATTAGAGACAAAACTCTTTGAAGTGAATAAAAATGCCTCGATTTAGAGATGTCATATAATAATTAATTACTATATTTTTATTATACTTTTACTTTTAGATTGGCAAACTTCCTACATACATGTAAAACATAGTAGAAATAATTTGAATATAAACTGTATCGATAATCCTGCAAAGGGAAGGAGGGGGATCGGGGGGGAACCCACTATTTCAAGGGTAATGATACATGTAGCCTTAAGGGCTACATATAAACACTAAAAAAAATTCCTAAAACAGTATAAATTTTAAAATTCATGACTAAAACACGAGTTGAAGGGTGTAAGTAATGATTAGTTATAAACTTTCTTTTTGGCTTCTTATATGTAGCCCTTAGGGCTACATTTATCATTTTCCTTGCTTAAAAAAGGAAATCCATATTGGAACAAAAAACCAATGTAGCTAAGCACTACTCAGTGTTCACCTCTCTACTCTCTTTTGACCTTCCTTTATGTATATCGAAAAGAAAAAGAGAAAACAAGATAGGTCTGCGTGGTCTCAGCATCTCACTGGAGTCAATGCCACCTGTAAACCTCCAGCATAGTAACATCTAGGATTCCCTCTGCGTTGCTCAGCTGTCACTGGCATTGGCAGTAGCTGACTTTTGTGCTTAATAGCCTTTTTTTTCATTTGGCATTTGTCCTGTTACTCAAAATTATTTGGTTTTATCGTAATTAATTAAAGGTTTTTTTGCTACTTTAAAATTGTGTTGTTCTTTTCTTATCATTATGGCAAGGTCTCATAGTCTAAGGGAGGGATAGGGTTTTTTTTTTCTTTCTGCTCTTCTTTTGCATAGTTTATCTCCCAAAGGCCCTTGTATTGGCACTTCATTCTCTTATCTCATTATTAATCTAATTAGATGTCTTTTCTCAATACTATCCCAAAGATTGAACAGGGAAAAATAAGCAAGGAGATCACACATGCCAACACCAATCATTAATAAGGAGCATTTATCGCAGGACTGTACAAAGCTTTGAAAGTCATTGTGGGAACTACACCCCCTCTTTCTAATCTGGTAATTAGGTACGCTGAAATACTTATCTCCAGGATTATAAAATCATGACAAAAAGGCCACCAAAAACTGGTTTTGCGCATGCTTACCCACACAAACCCACCCACCCACGTACACGGGCATACACGCACGCATATGTAGACACAAACACACCTTCATAATCTGAAGGTTAGCCTACACAAACTCATTAGACAATTTAATGCTGGATTATTTTTGTTAAGAGAAGATGCCATTTTAAGCTAAAGAAGATTACTCCAGTTAAGATAAGATGCCATTTTAAGCTTAAGTAATAAGATTAATAAAAGTAACCTAAACAAACTCATTAGACAATTTAACACTGGATTATTCCAATTAAGAGCAGGTGTCATTTGAATCTAAAGTGATGAAGTAGTTAATTGATTTTAAATTAAATGATTTAAATCAAGAACCTTGAATGTTCTCTGAGTCACCAGTTCAATTTTGCGTGAGGTCATATAAGATTGAACTAGGGTCGCTTAGTTTACTAAAATAAACCAATAATAAACAATTTTAATAATACATACTGGGTGCTTTTGTAATTGTATCACTTGGCGTTATAAGCTTACCGATGCATAAATATAATAGTGAATATCTTTGATTATCTTCTAGTATAGATAACAAATAGTTGATATTTTAAAAGTACATACTGAGACCATTCTGGCAAGATATTTTTCCTTACGTAAAGAATTAATACGATCAAAGGACAGTGTGAATAGTGAAAGACCTTGAAGTCCAAATGGTGCCCCCAAAAAAAAAAAAAAAAAAAAGGGAGAAAAAGTGTTTAATTTTTGGTTCTGTCAAACAGATGTGTATCAAATGGCTATTACCAAATTTTTGGTGTAGTTCACGTTCATGTCAGGTTATGTGCAACTTTTTCCAATTTTATTGTGGCTTCTAATTGGACATTTAGATGAATCGTATTTCATACTAAAAAGTTTTAAGGATAATGTTGCTACTTTAAGCCAAAAAATTGAATGAAAAGGGAAAAAAAAAAAGAAAAACATAAATTCAGTTCTTGCATGAAAATCCACTTCAAATAAACTGCCAGTGATAATACTAAAAGAGACAAACAAGCAGATAATTCTTTAAAATCTGAGGTATCCACCATTATGCTCAATGACTTCAATCAAATAATTGCAACTTTTACAAGTAGCATTTGTTCTCATCCAGTCATCCAATCACTCCTACTATTTGATTATTAAGCCAGCCTATACTATATCATTGGAGATCATGCGCAACTGCACAAGTCAAGGACTTTAGCATGAGAAAAGGAAGGTAATACAGATTCTAATTCCCTAGGAAATTCCCGATCCTTACCAATGAAGTTCACTGGGAAGTCGTCTAATTAAAGTTCCATGCCATATTAAAGGATCACTAAAGCAATAACATGCATCCTTATTACCAATAAAATTGTGGTTTCATTTTAGCATTAATTTTACCAACTTTGAAATAGAGTATCTAATCCCAAGCATAGAAATCATAGAAGCAATTATGCGAAGCTTATATAAGCAAATTTAAGGGATGCCTTAAAAGAGTTGAAAAGGGGGAAACACATACGATCAGAGGAGAGAGAGAGCTAACCAGTAACTTTGTGTTTTTATATGAAACAGAAATCTGTGCAAACTATACTCCATCAGTGACCAAAGGACGATACCAGAGACTACTGCTGCTGCTGCTTGAGCAGGGGTAAGGCCCCTCTGCATAGCTACGTAAACAAGCCAGCACACGACTGGTAGCCATACCAGCGGAATCACCCACCACTTAGTGCGAGTTAAAAACTTCACATAGACAATATTTAGGTAAGAGATCATGCATTCACATTACTGCAATAAAAAGCATTACCTAACACTATTGCTGGTGTATCTTTAATTCATGCTTTTTAATTGTACAAAACAAGTGCTTAGAAATTGATAGCCACAAAACAGCAACGACAATCTTTTTATGATAACTATCCAACTTTTAAAAAGCTCTTTAATTGAATTTCATAACAGGTTTAAGTCATCCAAATAACAATCACATGTCATAAAATTTTATTTTGTAAGAAGCAAAATGTCTAAAAGATAGATAAATATTGGAGAAACCATGTATAACGTCAAGATGTGTATGCCACATTGCTAGATCCTTGGCTCACTAGCCAAAATAGAGACAAAATGATGCTTAATAGTTAATTTCATAGGGTAAGAAGGTAAGTTATGTTTATATTGTAAGACAATAAAGCCATCATTTTTAAAGCTGCACACCAAATATGCAATCTAAAGAGTTCTATAAGAATGAAAAGCATTCATAAAATATAAATATATACTCCCGCTCCAAGGATGGTCAAGTTTGTATTGGATCACAAAGCATAGGAATGAGTAAATTCAAAACGTAGGTTATTGTTAATAGAACTTGAAGGCCAGGTCTAAGCTTATTGGAAACAAGCTGAAAACTAACACTCGCTCTATCTCAATTTACTTGCTCCATGAGCAATGGCACAATTTATTAAAAGGGTGGAAAATAAAGAAGAAGATTTAAATGGGACCCATATTCAGAAAAAAAATAATAATTAAAAGAGAGATAAATTCCTCTATAAGTTATTAATGTATAATGCCTACCAACCAACTCTAATCAGTATCATATTGCAAAGAAGAGCCTTCAACACTAGCCATCAAAACAAGGTTTACATAGTTGTATAGACCTATTTGAACCCTAACATCTTTTCGTTCAAATTATTTATTTTCAGCCTTTTGTACATTCATCATTCAGATTGGTATGAGGTCCATGAGATGTGACTTCTCTAGCTTAATAGCCATCTAGACATTGGAATTATAGCAAACTAGTTGAAAACCACAGAAACGTTTTTTGGCAAAGCTCCACAAAATCGGCCTCGCCACAAAAAGGCCATGTTTAACCAATGGCTTTTGCCTGAAGTTTTGATTGGTATTCGCCTTTCAACTTAATAATATGGTCAAACACCCAAATAAAAGTCATTTCAAACACCCAATAATATGGTATTCGCCTTTCAACATGTTTCAAAAATTAAAAGCTGACAAAAGCAAATTTTTTTACAGCTTTTACATCACCAAAAAAAAAAAATAAGTAAAAAAAATATTTTTAAAAAAAATTTCATTTCACCTATTATAACTAACAGCGAAAAGTCGAATAAAAACTTCTATATTAACAGAAAATGATAACAGCTCCATAAAAAAACCAATAAAAACACCTGATATTACTGGCTATAAAAACAAAGTGAACTACCAAACAGGCAACAATTAATTGCCGTTAAACTTTTTAAGTTAAAAATTAGCACAAGTAGTAAACATAATCGATTTACCTCCAGATTGTCATTTGCAAAAAAGCGAGGGCCCTCCTTGCTGACAATAGGCTGATGAACCCATTCATCATAAGCTTCTCCAAGATGGCCAACCTGCAATTCCAAATGTTTTATATTACTAGTGAAGATAACTCCATTTCATATTAGTTGACATGTTTCTTCAAATTACAAAATGAAGTCAAAGTAGCTTATGTGATTGTGCCAAAGTCAAAATGTGTCAACTAATAAAAAATAAAGAAGTATAGGAGAGGAAATAACATAATTAAGAAGAGAAAGAGGGAAGTCCTGAGTACAAAAGAAGACAAAAAATAACATCTGATTATAGAAGGTGAAAAAGGAAGCGTGTATATAACATAGATATGACGAGATTTCATTAACTTTTGAAAGGAAGAGCAAACTAATAACAAACGTGGCATAAATTATCATACAAGAAAGTAGAATAAGCTGCTACACAAGGGGACACGGATGCAACAACTAACACTTAGTTAATAGAAAAGGACATGGTACACAAAATATCAGTTCTTGCTGAGTTATTAAACATCTATTGCAAGTAAATAAGTGATAAAATCATACCTGGAAAACCAGCGGCTCATTTAAATCTACATCAAACTTGACAACCATCCTTAATTAGATAACTACAGAACACAAGCATGGCAGCAACATTAAAAAGACATTCATCAGAAAATTCATCTCTTAGATATTTGAGAACTATAGAAAATAACCAAAATTGTATATAATATTTTTTTTTTCTTTTGTTGTTTATTAATAGTATGGGTGACCCTTGCATGACATACTTCACAATTTAAATGCAAATCAAACATGGAATTGTTAGTTTGTCAGCAGAGCATGAAAAATCTTCATCCACATAGATAAATCTCAAAAGACAAAAACTAACACTCAAACATCAAAACGGCTGCATTGCTATAGTCAAATATGCATATTACGAACACGCTAAGTCACAATACCTAATACTTTGTTTGGATAGAAGGAAATGGGAGGAAAAGAAGAGAAGAGAAAGAGAGGGGGACAAATTCTCTTGTTTGGGTAAAGAATTGCGGGAAGGAAGGGGAAGGAGAGGGGGGGATCCATTTTCCCTCTCTCTTTAATAAGCATAATCCCTCCAAAATTGGAAAGATTTGGAGTGAAAATGGAGCTCACCTCCCCCTCCCTTTCTTTTTCCTTCCCTTCCTCCTTTTTACCTCCCCTTCTTTTCCTTCCTTCTTTGCTATCCAAACAAAGCGTAAATGAATTTAATATCCTTTGCTCGGTAAAGAGGGATTGATTAAAACACATGAACATGCTTCTATTTTTTCTACTACAGGGATAAAAGAATTACTAGTATTCCATAGGAAGAGGATGTTAACTCGTTATGAAAAAATGGGAAGCTAAGCTTTTCGAAAACCATCAAAGCTTTCCCAATCTCAAGTATATCAGTGGATAGCATGCTTATTTCAGGTTTCAATGTTTCACTATAAAATTTACCATGAAAGCAGAACTAAAACGAGAGCTATTCTCCGAACCAACCATTTGACAAGTGCATCTTATCTTAAAAGTCTTCTGTGAATTGATGAGAATGGCACAACTACTAGAAGGGTAAAGAAAAAATGTTACTTCCGCAATTGTGCTTAATAGAGATAGAACAAGATGACACTGATTTCTGGACATATTTATAATCAGATTATAATTTATCATATGTATGAAACAATAAATAAATAAATAATTATTCAAGATCTAACTTTACCAATATCCAAATAACAGAAGATTTTGAATAACAAAAGGAAAAGAAAAGCACATATTTTACACTATTAACATGCAGCAAATAATTCAATAATCAATCTGATCCAGGAAGAAAATTCCATATTCATCTAAAATTCAAGGGATTTGCATCACATTAAAACCACATTGTACTCAATTATCAAATTAAATTATTAGCATTACAGTAATTAATTGATAACCAACAGTTCAATAATCAATCTACGTTCATATACCCTAAATTGAATTAAATTATCGATCAAAGATAGATTGTGAAACTGATATACGATGATTGAGAAAAACATCTTACCTACGCTTCAATTGAGGTAAAGCTAACAAGCCACTTCAATGGAGGAGCGAAGGCTCACAACTCGCTTCAACGGAGAATTCAGATTAGCCGCTTCAATGAAGAAAAGAGGAGGAAGGACGGGTACATTGCCTGTTGCCTCCAATCTCCTTTCAATTTTATTTTATTTTAAATGGTTTTTCACCGGATAGTCCAAATACCCCAAAGTTTTAACAAATTCAATCCCGTTGTTTTCAAAATTTCCCAAATACCCTTGGATTTTTATATAATTCAACAAATATCCTTTATGACTAATGGTATTAAGCTCTGTTAGTCATTAACTCTTAACTAACCCATTAACTTCTATATTATTATATCTGATTTGGGTAAAAATACCCAGACCACGTGATCCAATTAGAAGGTGACATGTGTCATCCTTAGAAAGGTCCCAAGAGGACCAATCACCAGCTGACATATGGCATCCCCTATTATTAGGGATAAAGGCGGCCTTCAAGGCCTAAATCCCAAGGCGCCGTAAAAGCAGCGCAACCCATTTATCTATGTTGATAACCTAGAAAAGGGGCACTGATTCCCAATGCCCTATAAATAGGAAAAAATTTACGCCATTTTAAGGGCACGTTGATTCATTACAGCATTCAATACTCTCTTACATCAGAGAAAACACCAGCCTCGGGATCCAAGAAGATTCTTTTACTTTTTGCACATTTACCCTACTTCAACTCTTTACTAACTTGATTGTCGGAGGCGGAACTCCGAACCCCCGAAGCTTCCATTTGTCTGCAGGTACAGCCGAAGAGAAATCAATCTTAGTGAAGTAACTCTAAAACCCCAAAACATTTGGCGCCGTCTATGGGGAGAGTACCTCTAAGATGGTTTCTTAAGAGACTATACAGCCTCTTGAGATCAAACGTCCAGAAATAGAGGTCCATTCGGACCATGATAAAAAGTCAGATCTAGAGGTCAAAGTACATACGGCCAAAGATGGATCCCTCATCACTAAACGTATCCGCCAGAAAGAGAAAAAAGAACAAGGCCATGGTCAGGCGGGTCTGAGCAAGTCAGCCGGCCAGCCTCAGGCTACAGGACATCACTGGTGAGGAGTTTGTAAAGTTCATGATGAACTTCAAAGGTTAGATGAGAGACCTCATCAAGACCTAGACGCCTGGTCCAAGCAAAGGATAGTCGTCCAAGAAACCATCTCACTCTAGGAAAACAAAGTCGGTCAAGGACAGTCAGCCCACTCCACATCCAAAACAGAAGGAGAGGGACCAACCCCTAATTGACTGGACATATATTCGTCTCCTAGGGGCGAATTAGAGAAAGTCCATCCGGCATGCACAGCCGGATGACAGCGAGAAGACTTATGCTGATGCTCGGCATTTCATTGAGCATAAGCGGAATAACCAAATGTTTGACACGGCTTCAACGCCGAAAATGCCAGACAACTTCAGGAATAACTCGATGAGGTATTCCTAATCTGCACAGGAGCAGCTGTTAGGCGGCCAGTCCGTCCATACAGGTCCTCAAATGGTAGGCTTGGTGCCATATGTGCCCCATCAAACATATGGTCCGTTTGCCCAACCTTATCAACAACCCATCCTCTTCAGAGGTCAGGTGGCATATCAGGTCCAGCCCCTAGCAGCTACGTTTTCTGAAACTTAGAGAATAACCTTCTGTGTTCTCCAAAGAAATAACCGAGGCAGCATAACCGGCCAAGGTTAAGAATGTCTTGGTTGGTGCCTATGATGACACCTCCAACCCTGAACACCAGCTGATGGCTTACACCAACCTCATGTACTTGCAGGGGTTGGATGATGCCACCTGGTGTAGATGCTTCCCAGGTACACTAAAGGGCATTGCCCAACAGTGGTTTGGCAACTTGTCGTCTGGGTGCATAAATAATTTCAGGACCCTTACGTTCCTGTTTGCCTCTAACTTCTTCATGAACATACCTGCCAAAAAGACAAGTCTCGACTTAAGCACGGTACAATAGGGAGACAGGGAGGGGCTCCGTTCTTATGTCAGGCGGTTCAATCTGGTGAGACTCCAAATTCAAGGGTTGTCTAACGATGCTGCTTATACAGGATTTTTCAAGGGTCTGAAGGATGGATCGACTTTTAAGTTTGACCTCGTTTGGAAGAGAATCTCTACTCTTCGAGAAGTGCTTATGGAGGCAGAAGCTTATATACAAGCGACTGAGCTCTGCTCCACCAGCAAGCAATTGGACTTAAAGAAGTCAGATTAACATAAAGGGAGTCAGCAAGATCAGTCAGCTCAAAAAGCTGAAGAGAGCAAGAAGAGAAAAGAAGTTTGGGCGGTTGAGGACTCTGATCAGTAGTCCAAAAAGAAAAAGAAAGAGTTTAAACCGTACATCCCAAGGTACGAGTTTAATAAAGACTGCTACACCATCCTTATGGATATCAAAGACCAGGTGGTACTTGAGAAGTCCTCAGTGATGAAAGGTCCGGCCAAAGACCGGAATAAGGACAAGTACTGTCACTTCTATGAGGATATTGGCCATGACACCAACAACTACTATAGCCTCAAGCGGTTGCTGGATAGCTTGGCTAATAAACAAGTGCTGAACTCTTACATTCTCAAGTCCTAGGTGACCTTGAAGACGGACCCCAAGCAGCTGTCCAAAAAGTCAGCAAAGGCTGATAGTGGTTCGGACACAGATCCGGACATGATTTGCACAATTGCAGGCGGCTTTGCCTCCGGTGGTTCAACTATCAAAGACACCAAGGACCATGTCAGACAGATGAATGTCAGCTCAGTCGATGAAGGCCAAACGTCTTCCGACACTTTTCCTGAGGTCGTCATCTCTAAGAAGGACCGGGGCGAAGTCCGCCGGCCGCATGACGACCTAATAGTCATTGAATGCAAGGTGGCTAACCAAAGGGTTGGTCGGATCCTCATTGATACCGGCAGTTCGTCTGACATCATCAGCTGGCGTGGTCTATCAAAGCTGAAGTACAAGCTAGGTAGCCTTCACAAGATCACTCACCCCTTAGTTGGTTTTAGGGGGTGGAGTTGTGCACCTAGTCGGTCGCATTGATATGCATCCAGCTGGGAGAGAAGGGAGAGGGGCGCCACATAAGAGAAAGGCGGACCAGGTGGTGACTGTCATTAAAGAGACGCAATAGCAATCATTGACCGGGGAACGATATGGTGAACTCCGTCCCCAACCGGCTGGTGAACACATTGACATCGCTCTAGATAACACATGTCCAGAACGTACTGTTAAGTTGGGGACGATTGCCTTTGCAAAGTTAAAGGCATACTTGCACAACCTACTGAAAGAATTCAAGGACATTTTTACCTTTGATGTGGAAGAGGTGCCGGGTATCAGCCCAGATCTTGCTGTCCACAAACTCGTCGTTGACCCAAAGAAGAGGCCTATCGGGTAAAAGAATAGAAATCACGGCGAGGAGAGAAGTCAGGCGGCAGCCGTCGAGGTTAAGAAGCTGTTAGACGCCGGTTCATTCGGCAATGTCACTTTCCAGATTAGGTAGCGAATGTTCTTCTTGTGAAAAAACCCAAATGGGACCTGGCGCTTGTGTGTTGACTACACAAATCTGAATAAGGCATGTCTGAAGGACAGTTATCCGCTTCCAACGATCGACAGTCTGGTCGACTCTACAGCTTGACATGCCATGATGAGCTTTATGAATTCATATCTAGGCTTTCATCAGATACCCCTATGGAAGAAAGATCAAGAGAAGATGACATTTGTCACTGATCAGGGGTTATTTTGTTATACTGTGATGTCGTTTGGCTTGAAAAATGCGCCTACTACTTTCCAAGAAATGATTAATACGGTCTTCATTAATCAAATTAGAAGAGACGTACATTGATGGTATGATAGTCGAATCCAAGTTACAGACGGATCACCTTGCTAACCTCCGAGAAACCTTCACCACACTCAGGCGGCACAAGGTATTGCTCAATCCCAAGAAGTGTGTCTTTCGTGTTGAGTATGGGAATTTTCTCGGATTTTCTATTGATTAAAGGGGGATAAAGGCAAACCCAGAAAAGATACAGGCGGTCATTGTCATGAAGTCACCCCGCACCGTTAGAGAATTTTAGAAGTTAACTGGTTGTCTTGCGGCATTGGGAGATTCCTAAGCCGGTCAGGTGAAAAGTGCCTCTATTTTTTCCAAACAATCAGAAAGAAGACCCTGTTTGAATGGGGAGATGATGCTGAGGCGACATTCTAGAAATTAAAAGAACATTTACACTCCTTGCCAAGGCTTGTAAGCCCTTTGCCCAAGGAGACGCTCTTCATATACCTGGCCATCCCAAATCATGCTCTTAGTGCTGTTCTCCTTGTTGAGAGAGACAGCAACCAGCTCCCGGTCTATTTCATTAGCTATGTTCTCCAAAATGTAGAACTTCGGTACTCAATGGTTGAATAATTTGGCCTTGCTCTTTTTGTGGTAGTCGAGAAGTTGAAACTATACTTCTTGGCACATCTCGTGGTAGTCTATATAGACCAACCCCTCAAGCGGCCAATGACTACCTTAGAATCATCCGGTAGGATGCTCAAGTGGGTTATCAAAATGCAGAGCCTTGAAATCACTTTTGAACCAAGGAAGGCAGTGAAGGGTCAGGTGTTTGCCGATTTCATTGTTGAAATGACATTGGAAAATCTTGATCAAGTTTGGAAAGTGTATGTAGACGGGAGCTCTAACATGAACGACTGTGGTGCTATTATTTTTCAGTCTCCTAAAGGGGTCAAATATGAATACGCATTACGGTTCAAGTTTCAAGCCTCAAACATTGAGGTCGAGTATGAAGCTTTGTTAGCCGCTATACGTATGTGTAAGGCAGCAGGTGCAAAGAAGATTAACGCCTTCTCTGATTCATAGTTGGTCGTTAGCCAATACCATAGTGGCTATGAGGCCACCCATCCAGCTATGATCAAATATCTTCAGGCGGTCAGGACAAAGGCTGGACACTTGATGAATTCCACTTAAGTTAGGCGCCCCGGTCGGATGCACTATCAAAATTGGCATCATCGGCTCTTGTGATACGCCTCGGTTAGTCTTTTGGGAGGTAATGAAAAAATGAAGTATCAAGGAGGATCCCATTGGTGTACTTGACCGAAGTTCAACCTGGATGGACGACATCCGGGCCTATATGCTAGACGACACTCTGCCAGATACATATCTAGAAATGGTCGTAA